CTCTAATTTACGGCGGAACTTTCCGTCGCAACATATAATTTGCGACGGAAAATTCTGTCGGAAATTTATACTTTGTGACGGAATTTTCCGTCGTAAATTAGGTTTTGCGACAAAAAATTCCGTCGTAAATGATAAATTACGACAGAATTTTCCGTCGCATATTATAAATTACGACAGAAAAATTCCGTCGAAAATTATATGTTGCGACGGAAAATTCCGTCGTAAATTAGAGAAATAGCCCAAAACAAATTTCTGTAATTTTCTGCATTTTCAAACCTGAATTTTTTTAATGATAAATCGACAAAAAAAAACTAAGTATTGAGTCTTGAAATTGTTGTTTAAAAAAATTAATTACCGACCTACGAAATTATATTTATGTACATATATATATATAATAATTATGTCCTAGTACGAAATTATATTTATGTACATACATATATGCTAGACTAAAGCTAAGCTATGCAATCGCCTGGAAACCCTGGCCTGCTCCACCACTACCCGGGTCGTCCCTTGGGTCTCGATGCTGAGGATGAATGGTGGAACATGAGTCGTTGTTGGTGAGACGACTCATTATCTCCTCCATACTCTCCTTGTATCTCCTCTCCATTTCAGCCATTCGGGCTTCCATTTGAGTTTAAAGAGCTTGCACCCTGTGTTCCATCTGGTCTTGCATTTGAGAAATGACAGACGGCGTGTATTGCTGTGAAGATTGGGAACCTCGACCCATCTATTTGCCATAGTAGAGCTTTGCACTGTCGCCAAGTCCCTTCACACGCCCCTTCTTATTGCGCCCACCCACCGACTCCCAGTACAACTCATTGGGACTCTTCTGAATACCCTGACTCCTTGTTTCTTCGAGCTTCTTCTGGTAGGTCGCCTACAAAATATTGAAGATAATAAAAAATATTGTTAAAAAAAACAACCAACAATATAAGGTAAGGTTTCTTTCTTCTAACATTCCAATATAACATACTTTTAGGTGCCTAAGGATAGAAATAAATAGAAATAAGCACATAAGTCAATTTTCGACCCTAACTCATCCAAAATCATCTAAATTTGGCCTATATGGCTAAAACCATGCCTATTTTCTAAGTTTTCAAGCAAATTGACTCGTTCTTTCTTCAAACATTCCAATATCACATACGTTTAAGTGCCTAAGGATAGAAATTAAGAGAAATAAGCACATATGTCAATTTTCGAACCTAACTCATCCAAAATCATCCAAATTTGGGCTATATGGCTAAAACCATGCCTATTTTCTATGTTTTCAACCAAATGTAAGGTTTCTTTCTTCTAAAATTTCAATATCACATAATTTTAAGTGCCTAAGGATAGAAATTAAGAGAAAAAAGCACATATGTCAAATATCGACCCTAACTCATCCAAAATCATCCAGATTTGGCCTATATGGCTAAAACCATGCCTATTTTCTATGTTTTCAAGCAAATGGACTCGTTCTTTCCTCTAACATTCCAATATCACATATTTTTAATTTCCTAAGGATAGAAATTAAGAGAAATAAGCACATATGTCAATTTTCGACCCTAACTCATCCAAAATCATCCAAATTTGGGCTATATGGCTAAAACCATGCCTATTTTCTATGCTTTCAAGCAAATGGACTTGTTCTTTCTTCTAACATTCCAATATCACATACTTTTAAGTTCCTAAGGATAGAAATTAAGAAAAATAAGCACATATGTCAATTTTCGACCCTAACTCATCCAAAATCATCTAAATTTGGGCTACATGGCTAAAACCATGCCTATTTTCTATGTTTTCAAGCAAATGGACTCGTTCTACCTTCTAACATTCCAATATCACATAATTTTAAGTGCCTAAGGATAGAAATTAAGAGAAATAAGCACATATGTCAATTTTCGACCCTAACTCATCCAAAATCATCAAAAATTTGGGCTATATGGCTAAAACAATGCCTATTTTCTATGTTTTCGACCAAATGTAAGGTTCTTTCTCCAATATTCCAATATCAAATAATTTTAAGTGCCTAAGGATATAAATTAAGAGTAATAAGAACATATGTCACTTTTCGACCCTCACTCATCCAAATTTGGCCTATATGGCTAAAACCATGCCTATTTTCTATGTTTTCAAGCAAATGGACTCGTTATTTCTTCTAACATTCCAATATCACATACATTTAAGTACCTAAGGATAGAAATTAATAGAAATAAGCACATATGTCAATTTTCGACCCTAACTCATCCAAAATCATCCAAATTTGGGCTATATGGCTAAAACCATGCCTATTTTCTATGTTTCAACCAAATGTAAGGTTCTTTCTTCTAACATTCCAATATCACAAAATTTTAAGTGCCTAAGGATATAAATTAAGAGAAATAAGCACATATGTCACTTTTCGACCCTAACTCATCCAAAATCATCCAAATTTGGCCTATATGGCTAAAACCATGCCTATTTCTATATTTTCAAGCAAATGGACTCGTTATTTCTTCTAAAATTCCAATATCACATAAATTTAAGTGCCTAAGGATAAAAATTAAGAGAAATAAACACATATGTCAATTTTCAACCCTAACTCATCCAAAATCATCCAAATTTGGGCTATATGGCTAAAACCATGCCTATTTTCTATGTTTTCAACCAAATGTAAGGTTTCTTTCTTCTAAAATTCCAATATCACATACTTTTTAAGTTCCTAAGGATAGAAATTAAGATAAATAAGCACATATGTCAATTTTCGACCCTAACTCATCCAAAATCATCTAAATTTGGGCTATATGGCTAAAACCATGCCTATTTTCTATGTTTTCAAGAAAATAGACTCGTTCTTTTCTTCTTACATTCCAATATCACATAATTTTAAGTGCCTAAGGATAGAAATTAAGAGAAATAAGCACATATGTCAATTTTCGACCCTAACTCATCCAAAATCATCCAAATTTGGGCTATATGGCTAAAACCATGCCTATTTTCTATGTTTTCAACCAAATGTAAGGTTTCTTTCTTCTAACATTCCAATATCACATAATTTTAAGTTCATAAGGATATAAATTAAGATAAATAAGCACATATGTCAATTTTCGACCCTAACTCATCCAAAATCATCCAAATTTGGGCTATATGGCTAAAACCATGCCTATTTTCTATGTTTTCAAGGAAATGGACTCGTTATTTCTTCTAACATTCCAATATCACATACATTTAACTGCCTAAGGATAGAAATGAAGAGAAATAAGCATATATGTCAATTTTCGACCCTAACTCATCCAAAATCATCCAAATTTGGGCTATATGGCTAAAACCATGCCTATTTTCTATGTTTTCAAGAAATGGACTCGTTCTTTCTTCTACCATTCCAATATCACATAATTTTAAATGCCTAAGTATATAAAATTAATATAAATAAGCACATATGTCAATTTTCGACCCTAACTCATCCAAAATCATCCAAATTTGGCCTATATGGCTAAAACCATGCCTATTTTCTATGTTTTTCAACCAAATGTAAGGTTTCTTTCTTCTAACATTCCAATATCACATAATTTTAAGTTCATAAGGATATAAATTAAGATAAATAAGCACATATGTCAATTTTCGACCCTAACTCATCCAAAATCATCCAAATTTGGGCTATATGGCTAAAACCATGCCTATTTTCTATGCTTTCAAGCAAATGGACTCGTTCTTTCTTCTAACATTCCAATATCACATACTTTTAGGTGCATAAGGATAGAAATTAATAGAAATAAGAACATACGTCAATTTTCGACCCTAACTCATCCAAAATCATCCAAATTTGGGCTATATGGCTAAAACCATGCTATTTTCTATGTTTTCAACCAAGTGTAAGGTTTCTTTCTTCTAACATTCCAATATCACATAATTTTAAGTGCATAAGGATATAAATTAAGATAAAATAAGCACATATGTCAATTTTCGACCCTAACTCATCCAAAATCAATCCAAATTTGGGCTATATGGCTAAAACCATGCCTATTTTCTATTTTTTCAAGGAAATGGATTCGTTATTTCTTCTAAACATTCCAATATCACATACATTTAAGTTCCTAAGGATAGAAATGAAGAAGAAGTAAGCATATAATGTCAATTTTCGACCCTAACTCATCCAAAATCATCCAAATTTGGGCTATATGGCTAAAACCATGCCTATTTTCTATGTTTTCAAGAAAATGGACTCGTTCTTTCTTATAACATTCCAATATCACATAGTTTTAACTGCCTAAGGATATAAATTAAGAGAAATAAGCACATATGTCAATTTTCGACCCTAACTCATCCAAAATCATCCAAATTTGGGCTATATGGCTAAAACCATGCCTATTTTCTATGCTTTCAAGCAACATTCCAATATCACATACTTTTAGGTTCATAAGGATAGAAATTAAGAGAAATAAGCATATGTCAATTTTCGACCCTAACTCATCCAAAATCATCCAAATTTGGGCTATATGGCTAAAACCATGCCTATTTTCTATGCTTTCAAGCAAATGGACTCGTTCTTTCTTCTAACATTCCAATATCACATACTTTTAGGTGCATAAGGATAGAAATTAAGAGAAATAAGCACATTTGTCAATTTTCGACCCTAACTCATCCAAAATCATCCAAATAAGCATATAATGAGTTCTACTTTGCTAATTTGCCATATATCAACTCATATAATAAGTGTTTTCCGCAATCCTTTTTGCTTTGTTGTTGGTTGCCACTTGGCCTTTTCCAGGTACTTCCTTGAAGTGTGTCTTCAAGAAAAGATCATGGGCATTTGGTAATTGGCCTTGGTTTTTTGCAGCCTTTATATATACATGCAGAAAATGAATGAAAACATGTTAGCCCACCAAAATTCATTAATAGATAAATGACTTAATTGTTACTGGACATATTGTAGGAACCTTACCATCCTTTTAGCATGTTGTACAGATGACATTGAACCTTGAAAGTGGGTCGGTTCAACGACATTTTCCATGGATCCGCTTCTTGTTTTGTTCCGACCGCTTTTATATTCTGGATCGGTGGCAACAATTTGCATCATGCCTTCGTGGACATCCTTATTAAGCCATCTTGGTCTGCGACCATTCAGCCTGTGTGTGATGTTGTAGAACGTGTCACGTAGGCGATTTGCAAACTTTTCTTCGAAAGTGTCCTTCACTTGGTTGTTTAACTTAGGTGCCCACTTGAATTTTTTCTGCAAATCAAGAAAATGTCTTTATTACAAAATTCAACTCCATTAATATAATTTATAAAACATGTATTATGTTAGGTTAAAGTTATCATACGTTGAACAAGTTCCAAAAGTGCTCTCTCGAATCTTCATCAACCTCTCCATAATTCCTCCAAGGCTCAACATAGTAGCCGGTTAGCGAGTCGGAGAACACATTCTTCACCGGGATATCATCAAACCTATAATAAAGGATAGACATTCATGTAAGTAGATAATCAACAAAAAGTGAACAAAACATGGTTAAAGTAATACAAATTCACTTTATCAAAGTAAATACGAATTTAAGGATATTTCATTATACAAATACATACGCACCAAAGTGTGGAAGGGTCCAACTCTAGCAAGTCATTAGGATGCGGGTCCTGTAGCTCTTGTTCCTGTTGCTCCTGTTGCCCTTGTACATGCCTAGGAATCTGTCTCCGATTAACGATTTCTTGAGAGGCCCCCAAATCATGTGCCTCCTCTTCCTCCATTGACTCATCCTCGTCAACACGTACAACCTCAGATTTCCCCTTAGTCTTTCTCCTCCTGGACGTTTCTCCTTTATTTCCTCCTCCCATGATGACCACCCTGAAAAAGTTGTTAGTACCATGATCGCACATTGTAAATTCATAAATTAGATCCATAAGACATTAAAATAAAAAAATGACACCAAAAAATGTAATGCAATATTACAAGTCCGAGTAGTCATTAAAAACTAAACATTCGAAGACAATAGTTAAAGGAGTAACTACATATTCTCCTCTTCATTACTCTTATCACTACTACCACTATCATTATTACTATCACTAGTGTCATCTAAAAATACATCGATGTCCTCTTCTTCGTCACTGTCACTGGAGCCAATGCTTTCTTCTTCTTCTTCATCGCTTGAGATAATAAAGCCATCGTCATCATCATCATCACTATCAAGTTCATAGTCTGGAATGTCATTTGGTGGACAAAGCGTTGCATGTACTTGTGGTGAAGGACCCTGCAAAAACTCTAAATCCACCGGAGCATCAATCACCGACCTTGCTTGAGTTCTAAATACAGCCCACCATTGAACCCGATCACGTTTAAGGCTAGGGTAAGATGCATAATACACTTGAGACACTTAGTAAGATAAGACAAATGGATCATACTTGGGATACTTCTTAGTATGATTTACTTCGACAAGCTTGTATTGTTCATGAATGTTCATTCCTTTACCACAATCCATCCAACTACAACTAAACAAAATAGTCTTGTACTCTTTTTCGGGACCGGTGTAGACAAGTTCAATTATGTTGTTTAAAATGCCAAAGTACTCTCCACCGTCCTCACTTGAGACACACACCCCGTAATTCATCGTAGATTTGTGTTTGCCATAGGACTGTGTGTGGAAATTAAAGCCACCGACAAATATCTGGTTCCAAGTCCGAACACGCTTGAAAGGCCTCATAGACAATGCTCGCAACATCGGAACTTGGTTTTTGTTCTCTCACCTATAACCGTTACGAATACAAGCGTCACACTAATTGAAATGAAATATTATATTATATTATCACAAATTAATCGATATGCAATGTTCGAAAAGTATTATCACCTTGTGATGAATCCAATCAGGGAATTCACTTTCGCATTTCTCCATGACATCTTCTCGACGCAAATAAGTTCGAGTAAAAGAATGTAGTCCTCAAACTGCCTAATAGATTAATGACACATGGTTAATCATTCCAGCAATTATATTAAATTTAAGGGATTTTCAAAAGTTTATCCTAAACATATATACCTTTCGTATTCACCAAGAATGCCGGTATTTCTTAAAACGAACAAATGAGCACATTCGAGTTCCTTGTCATCTAAATACCGAGTTTTACCCAAATTTGACACACGACCCTTATCCACCGTGAACATCTCTGGGATTTCATCGTTGTCAGCCGGGGATTCCACATCAGCATTCACATTTCGACCTAGATCTCGTGTTTTTGTGTCAACTGAGGGCTGAAAGTAATTAGAGCAGAAGTTTGATATCTCTTCAGTGAGATAAGCGTTGCATATGGAACCTTCAACGCGAGCCTTATTACCAATTTTTTGTTTCAGGTGATTGAGGAACCTGTAATTATGTTTATGTAGCCGTAGAAGCTTAAGTAACGAAAAGCAATGAAAGAGATGAAAGTAAGAGTTGAGAAAGGACCTTTGATTTACCTTTCGAAAGGATACATCCACCGATATTGAACAGGTCCACATAACTTGCCCTCATATGGAAAATGAATTGGTAAATGCTCCATGGAGTTGAAGAAAGATGGGGGGAAAACCTTCTCAAGCTCGCACAAGATCTCAGCTATGTTTTTTTCCAATCGCTCCTTGTCGCTAACAGTAATTGTGTAGCAACATAAATCGCGAAAGAATTGGCTTATCTTTGTAATTGTATTCCATATATGGGTAGGGAGCAATTCTCTCAAAGCAGTGGGCAGCAACCTCTCC